CGGGGCCGGGGGCGGCGGAGGAGCCGCAGAGCCGCGCCGGGCTGGGCGGGTCCCGGCGGCCGCGCTGGGCCGGTGGCGGGCGGGCGGGGGGTGGCGGCTCCATTTTCCCCCGCGGGCTCCATCTCCCTTCCCAGAGCTCCATCCCCGCCCGGGGCTCCGTCTCCCCGCTCGGATCCCCGTCTCCCCGGGGGTCTCCGTGCCCCCGCGCTCCCCCCGCCCGTGTGCTGCCGCATTCCCGGCCCGCTGCCGGCCCGCGCGGGTCCCTCCCGGCGGGGTGGGTGGGCCGGGCTCGGCGTGGTGAATCAGGCGATGGGGAGCGCAGGCTGGGTGCCGGCTGCTGGTGAAAGTGTGGCGGGGAAGCGCGGCGGGTGTTTACCTCCGGCCGGGGCCGCCCGCAGGCTGGAGCGGGGAGGAAGCGACAGCGGCAGCAGCAGCAGCAGCGATGGCGCGGCTGGTGGCGGTGTGCCGGGACGGCGAGGAGGAGTTCCCCTTCGAGAAGAGGCAGATCCCGCTCTACATCGATGACACCCTCACGGTGAGCGAGCCCGTCCCGCCGTGCCCGCCGCGTGTTGCAATGGCCGGGCCTTTCCTCCCGGCCGGGCCTCCTCCTCGGGCTCCTGCGGCGGTAATCTCTGGGACTTTGCAACACTTAACAGAGCTGAATGTGGCAACTTTTTTTTTTTTTTTTTTTTTTTTTAAATCTGAAAGCGGGCGAAGCGCATTAATGAGGGAGTTATGGCAGGAGTTGTGCCGGAGCCACGCTCGGGCTCGGTGCTCAAGGGTGGAGCAAAGCCATTTTTCTGCCGGGAACGAAGGGAGCCATGTTAACGTTAAACCCGGCTTGAAACCCGGCCTGCTTGTTCCCGTCTGGAGCAGGCAAGGAAAGGCTGAAGGCGTTTTGGAGGGCTTTGGCGTGAAGCCGGGGTTATCGAGCCTGCAGAAATGTAACGAATCGGAGAGTTCCCGTTTCAGGGTGTTGCTGGGAGCTGGGAAACGTGGTTTGGCCGTTTCCAGAAGATTCAGTGGAAAAACCGGCTAAATGCAGCTTGGAGGTTCTCGGGTCCTTCTCCTCGTGAGTTTAGAGGAAGGTTCAAAAATTGCATTGCAGGAGA